CCAGAACCCTGAGATCACAATCTGAGCCGAATGCAGATGCTCAACTACTGAGCCACCCAGGTGTCCCACTCTAAATTTTTTTTAAAGATTAATTTTATTTGTTTTTTGGGGGGAGGAGAGGGAGAGAGAGACTCTTCAAGCAGACTCCCCACTGAGCGCAGAGCCCTACCTGGAGCTCAACCATGACCCTGAACCCTGAGATCACAACCTGAACCTAAACCAAGGGTCAGACACTCAACCAACTAAGCCATCCAGGCCCCCCAATATGCTCTAAAATTTTTAATATGCTTTGAGTTTTTCATAATCTGAAGGGACAAGATATCACATATGCCGGGTGAGTAGGAGTCATGCCGCAGCCCTGTCTGCACTATGCGCACTGATGGCCTCTTTGGGGACCTGACCCTAGAACGAGCACCCACCCTCCTCGTGTCATCTGAGTGGCCTCCACTTATCCGCCGAGTCTGGAGCAGAGCCCAGAAGTCATGACGTTGGAACCTCCTTCCAGCCCCAACCTCCTCAGGCTGAGCAAAGCACATCCTTCTTGCAGGAATCCCCGGGAGTGGGAGGACAGGGAAACTACCCGAGGAATCCAAGCTACTGACTGGCCTCGTGTGGGAGCCAAGGGTACTGGGGGCTGCCTTCCATGGGGAAATGGGCCACCATTCCTGTCCCGCAGGCGGCTGGGCTCTCGTAATGCCAGCCTCACTGCACCAGGGGCTTGTAGGGAACAAGTCAGGGCATCTAGAGAGGATTTCCATGCTGACAGGGCTGATAGAGCCCCATGTCACCTGCCAAGCACCACTCCTGGCCCATGAGCCTGAGACAGGCCTATAGCCTGCAACCAACCCTCGCGCTCCTGACAGGGTCTCCCCTGCTGTGCGCAGCCGAGGGCCGCTGTGGATGGGCTTGCTCAGCGCATCGCCCTTGTCCCTCCTGACTTCCAAGCAGGTGGCCAAGCCCAGAGGCTTGCCTGGACTCCAGCCGAGGACAGTCTTACCTCGTTGCCACAAGGCCTGCCTTGACGCTGATCTTTGCCTCTCTGACCACCAGTTACTCTCAGGAGTCATGCTCAGGTGGTTGTCCGCTGTCCTACCTCAGGCTGCACGTCTCTGTCATACACGCTTCAGAGCACAAAGGCCGCTGACCCAACAGCCCTGTGGTGACTGTCTGACAGGCAGCTCCCCCAGTGGAGGCCTGGCCTCAAACACAGCTTCTCTGGAGCCCTCGGAGCGTGGGTCAGCTCCACCACGTGAGGCCTGCATGGTGGAATGAAGGGGACGGTCATTCTCCCAGCCTGGAGCTGCTGGGATGGAGTCAAGTGGGACGTCTCTGCCCATGAACAGAACAGGTGCACCCCTTGCCTGGTTACCTGCACGCCCAAAACTCATCATCCCTAGTTCTTCCAGCAGCCTCTGGAAGACATCCCATCCCCCACGCCCAAACGAAGAAGCTCAAAGAGTTGACATGAGTTGCCCACACTCCTGGAGACCAGATGTGGCAGGACCGCGGCAGGTTGGAGGAAGTGTGTGTCCCTGAGAACCCCTGCTCCCAAGCAGCCTCAGTCGGCGGGCCCAGAGAGCGGGTCCGGGGGTGGGGGGCGCCCCTGTGGTGCCGGGCTCAGGGCCGGGGCGCAGGTGTCCGAGGCCGGCTGGCAGGCGGCGCCCAGCAAGCCCGGGAGTGGGCGGTGTTCTGTTCAAGGTGGCAGAGGTGCACAGCTGGGACCCGGCCTGCGCCTTACACACCAGATTGTTCCTTGCCTGCCCTTTTGTTTTTTTTAACGCCTCACCACAATAGAAACTGCTTATCTGCAGGTGGGCGGCTATTCTGAGAGCTCCAACAGGCAGCAGCGACAGCGACAGCGACAGCGACCGACCGACCGGTGGCTGGTGGCTTTGAGTTGGGGATTCAGAGCAGATCACTTAGCCGCCTGTCGCCCCGTCTACCTGCTCTGGTCTGAAGCCACATCGCGTCTGCTACTGTTGCTACTGTTGCTACTGTTGCTACTGTTGCTACTGCTGCTACTGCTACAGTCCCAGCCCCGGCCTCCCCAGGCCCTTTCCCCTCCTGTAACCAGATGGGCCACACCAAGCAGATTGATGGACTCTCATTTAAGCTTCCAAATGATCTTATTATGAACTGAAGCACAACACAAGAAAGTGCATAAACCCCGTTTGGCAGTGTACAGATTGTTGTAAAGCAAACAGCTGGTCATTGGGGCACGAAATGGAGCCTTACCAGCACCCCATAGGCTGGACATGTTACTTTCCAGCCACCAGCCACACCTCATGCTGGCCTCCTTGCCCCTGGAGACTCCAGGAATTATTTTCGTGCACAATGTTGAGGAGTCCAGGGATCTGCAATGATCTCTGTGACACAAGGCTGTGAGGGAGGTGATCGATGCACCAGCTCGGCATCACCTGATATGGATGGATATATGGATCCAGGGAGGGAGGGAGGGAGACAGACAGATGGACCTGTCTGCTCCTCACACCTGAGATTAGGCCAAGCAGGCGGGAGCCCCACGAGACTGCTGGGACATGAGGACATGGCTGGTCATGTGATGGGAGTGAAGGAATACAGTGTACTGACCGGAAGGCCTCAGCAGAAGGAACTGGTAGAGACTTTATTTGGCCAGGAGTGATGAAAAACTGAAAACGAGTGGCTTCAACAACTGAAGGGTTTATTTTCCTTGTATAACGGGGCGCCGCAGGCTGTCATGACTCAAAGGTGCCACTGATGGGCAGCCTGGGTGGCTCAGCGGTTTAGCGCCTGCCTTCAGTTGGGGGTGTGATCCTGGGGACCCGGGGTCGAGTCCCACATTGGGCTCCCTGCGTGGAGCCTGCTTCTCCCTCTGCCTGTGTCTCTGCCTCTCTCTCTCTCTCTCTCTCTCTCTCTCTCTCTCTCTGTGTGTGTCTCTCATGAATAAATAAATAAAAATCTTAAAAACAAAAACAAAGGTGCCACTGACAGCCCAGTCTCTCTCCAACTTTCTGCTCTGCACCTTAAGTGAATGGTTCAGCCTCAGGTTTATGCTTCATGGTTGCATGGTGGCTTCTGCCCTTCCTGGGACCTCATCTGTGCTCAAGGCAGGCAGGCAGGAAGGGGAAGAGCAAAGGGCAAAGCCAAGGACTCTTTCCCCTTTCAAGAAGCCCCTTCCTTCCAGTGACCTCCGCTTGCCTCTCTTTTGTCAGAAATGTGTCCTTGGCCACCTCTCCCCGCAGGGGAGCCTGGGAAACCAACTTTTTAAAAAAAGAGTTGGTCACATTGCTACCCCAGAACAGACAGTGAAGTGGGAACTCGTAGTGTTCTTCCTCAAAGAAATACTTGGGAGTAGGGGCAGTGAGAACCACCCCTGCCTCCCCAGTTTGGTGGGTCCAGTAAGTAGCCACAGGGCTCCTGTTCAGTGGGGCTGTGGAAGTCTGGGCCCAGAGCTGGATTATGGAGGATGTGGGAAAAGTCTGAGCCATCTTTTGGGGCTGCTTCTCACTCCTTCTACCATGCAGTCTGCAACCTTACTGCAAAATCGAAGCCGAGTAAATATTTTAAGGTGTTGTCCCCGCCCCATGATGATGCTCCTGCTTGTCTATGTGTTAAGATGAGCTAAGTGTTAAGACCTGAGTGAGGGCATCCAAGAAGCACAGGGCACAGACATCCCGAGAGCAGCCAGGAAGTGCATCCTCGTGGGCTGAGGCCCAAACCAGATCTAGAGAAGAACAGTCAGGGCATTAGGCTCATCCACCACCCAGAGTTATTCGATAGAATATTTTTCTTTTTTTTTTTTAAGATTTTATTTATTTATTCATGAGTCACACAGAGAGAGAGGCAGAGACACAGGCAGAGGGAGAAGCAGGCTCCATGCAGGGAGCCTGATGCGGGACACGATCCCGGAACTCCAGGATCACGCCCTGGGCCAAAGGCAGGTGCTAAATTGCCGAGCCACCCAAAAATCCCTAAATAAATTAAATAAATAAATATGTAAAACCTCTCTCATGGACATTTGCAAATATTGCTAACCCCACTGCTCACAGGGCATCTGAATTTTGCTGCCACCTTGTCTGTGGTTGCGGAATCCCTGGCCGGGCAGGGTGGTGCCCAGGAGTCTGGGTGCGGTGGGAGCCCCTGACCCTGTGCCCTGTTCCCACAGAGAGCGGAAGTCCCAGTGGTTGAGGTGAGAACGTGAGGCTGCCCTGGGTGGGCAGAGGCAGCCACAGGCAGCTGCAACAGACTAGTGCCTGGGCCCAATGCACCCTTATCGCTGTTTCTGCAAAAATTGCTGCCATGTGCAGAGATATAGAAACGTGCAAAGTCTGAGAGCCAGTGCTCAGGAGTCATCCCCAACCCTCCCATGTAGGCAAACGGCCCTAGTGACTCAGCCCCAGCCCAACCATGCACATCTTTCAGGCAACTCAGGGTTAAAGAGAGAGACAGAGAGAGAGAAAGGCGTTTTTGATGCACAGATGGCTGTGGTTTGAGCAGGCGAGCAGTGGGAGGGGTCTCGAGGCTCCTTGTCTCCTCTAGGCCTTGGCCCGCAGGTGGGTCTCGCCTTGGGAGGACCAGGGGGTGCTGCCGGCTGGTGGCCAAGCTGCAAAGCAGCAAAGCCCCGGCGGTGGTCTTCCTGGTCTGCTGTTCTCCGGGTCCTCACTGTGCCAACCCCCCCTTGCCAGGACAGAGCTCTCCCACCGCTGCCATCCCCACAGGCCCCAGCCCCCAGTCCTGGTGTCTCTGTCCTCTGGGGCCTCTCCTGCCCCAGGGATGGCCTAGGACAGGAGGGCCGCAGCCACTGCCTCGCCAATACCTCGGGACAAGTTTCTTCAGCAGCCTTCCTGTGTCCTTATGCAGCCTCGCTGGGGAGCAGGGAGCCAGGAGACACCTGTGCCAGCGTGGGGCCACCCTGCCCCCAGGGCTTCCATGGGCACCCACCTCCTCAGCATCAGCCTCTGAGAGCCGGGGTCCATCCCTGGCCCTCAAACCAGGTGAACAGCAGGAGCCTGAGAGGCTGGCAGGCAGCTCCTTACCTGGGTCCCCCATAAGGGACGGCGTAGTGATTCAGGACGTAGCTCTTCCCCCCCGAGCTCACAGAGACGGTCCTGTTCTGCGTCCAGAAGTCCAATTCCAAGGCCAGGGTCCCGATGCTGTCCCTGGGACAGGAGCCAGGCCCCACCTCAGCCCAGGCCCGCGCCCTGAGGCCTGCCCTGGGAGGTCCTGGGTAGGGGGTGTGCGGGGCGGCGGGGGGACGGGGCGCCCACCGGAGGAAGGCCGTGTCGTTGGTGTGGCTCACGTAGCGGTCCATCATGAGGGTCAGGAGCGGGGGCTGGCTCCGCTGCAGGTAGTACACGCGGGCCCCGTTCGGGACGTGGCCATAGCTGCCAACAAGGGGGCCTGCTGGGTGCCTCTGCCCCGCGGCCGAGGCCAAGGCCCACCCAGGGCCACGCCCGTGGCCCCGGCTCCTCTGCCCCCAGCCTTGGGGTGCCCGCCCCCTCTTACATTCGCACCAGCTCCAGGAAGTTCTGCAGCATGCCCTTCACCGTCTGGGGCATCTCGGAGAGGAGCAGCCCCTCCATCACCCAGTAGGAGTCCCTGAGGAAAGGGACAGCTCAGCCGCCCCCTGCCACCCCCGCCCTGCAGCCCCGGGGCCAGTCAGGGTGCCCCCCCTGCTCAGGATGGCCTCCTGCCCTGGGCTCCCCCTGCAGCCCTGGCCCCTCACCAGTAGTAGAATTCGGTGAAGTGCCCCCCAGGCACGATGAAGGGGTGTGCTGCGTAGAGGAGAGAGAACTGCTCCGGGTGGCTGAGGACCTCGGGCTTCACCTGTGGTCAGGGGAGAGGGCACAGGGCGCCCGTGGCCCCCACGGTGTCGAGGTTGGAGGAGGCCGGGCCGTGGAGGCCCTGGCAGCTCTGGGCTCTGGAGCCAGGCAGCCGGGGCATGGGTGCTGGCTCTGGGGCGGGTCAGCCGTGTGGCTTTGGCCAAGGCCTGAGCCCCTGGGAGCCTGGTCTGCTCGGCCCCCCATGCTGGCCTCTGGGGTCCCTGCTAACTCAGCCTGGCACTGGCAGGTGCTCACCAAGCAGTGGCTATCATTAGGACTAGGTAGGGGCACCGTGTCCTCCACTGCCCTTCCCCATCTCTGCTGCCACCGCCAAGCCAGGCCCCAGAGACCCAAGGCCCCCACCCTCCATCTGAGGTGTTGAGTGTGAAAAAGACATTTTTATAAAGATTTTATTTATTTATTCATTAGAGACAGACAGAGACATAGGCAGAGGGAGAGGCAGGCTCCCGGTTGAGAACCCAGGGCAGGACCTGATCCCAGGACCCCAGAATAACGACCTGAGCCAAACACAGATGCTCAACCACTATAGCCACCCAGGTGCCCCTGGAGTATGAAAATTAAAGAAAGGACTCAGGAGGCCAGCAGGTGAAACTCTCCACCCTAACACTCCTTTTCAATTGCAGACTTCAACTCACAGGTGGACGCTGCCTTATGATCCCAGCAAGAGGGGAAGGTTTCTTCTGCCCCAGCAACAGCCCAGCCAGTGAGAGACAGCCACGACTGAGCCAATGAAAAGCTACCACACTCAGAACTCCCAGTTTCCTCCAATAGGCTTTTTATTTATAACAACATTCCCAACATCCCTCTTTCCTCCATAAAAGAGCCCGATTCTCCTGTGTTGTGCTAAGTTGCTCATTGTTTTCATGTAGCTTACTCGTCCCAGATCACAGATGTTTGCTATTCCTAAATTAACCCATTTTTGCTGGTGAAATAATTGGCAGTTTTATTTGTAAGGTTATTTTTTAAAAAGATTTTATTTATTTATTCATGAGAGGGCGGGGGGAGGGAGGGAGGCAGAGACACAGGCAGAGGGAGAAGCGGGCCCCATGCAGGGAGCCCGACGTGGGACTCCATCCCAGGTCTCCAGGATCACACCCTGGGCTGAAGGTGGTGCTAAACTGCTGAGCCACCCAGCCTGCCCAGTAAGGTTATTTTTAACAGGAGGAAACCCCATGCCTTTTCCCCGGGGGAAGCAGACATACCTGATTGTGGCCTTGGGACAACAACTGTAGGACCAGGATGTGGGGCTTGCTGGGTGCCTCTGCCAGGTATTTTCTCTCTTCATTGCCTCTTGGTTCTGTACCAGTGAGTGTGGTTTCAGTGAGAGAGGGGTCGGCTCTTATTTGGGGGCGGGGGGTAGTAGAACAGAGCCTGGATTTGTTCCTGTGGGGCTAGGTAAGGAAGGAGCCCAGAGCACCACTCTGTGCTACAGGTGTCACGGCCCTGGGGCTGGCCAGGAGGACAGATGCTGTGCAGCCTTGGGCACACCACTGCCCTCTCTGAGCCTCAGACAAAGGAGAGAAAGAGTCTAACAGACTGTGCTGACCACAGGCCACAATCAGCAGTGGCAACTATTCCTGAGCAGGGGCTTGGTCTGACTAGCTCAGGGAAGGAAGAGCCCAGCTGAGGAGGAAATAATTAGGCATGAAAGGTAGGGGGTAGCCAGGAGGTGGCAAGACAACCTAGGTTGGCCTGGGGAGAGGCTGGTGAGGATTTCAGGGAAGAGGTGAAGAGTTAGAAGTAGACTTTGCTCTTTTATCCCCCTGCCACTCCCCATCCCAAATTTCTTTCTAGAGAGCTACCATAGGATACAAGGGTTGGGACCTTCTATCTAAACCTAGTTTCACCCCCAGAATACGCCTCCAAAGCCATGAATCACTGAAATTTGCGCTGGGCTGTTTTGAAGGCCATTCTATGAAATGAGGAGAAAGGTCCCTGATTTGACTATGACCTTGAACATGGAAGGACGTAGGACTTGACCCATTCAGACACATCTCGTTCTGGGACAGCTGCTTCTCGGTTCTGGATGTCATGGACAAGGCTCTGAAATATCTGGAGGTGAGGGTTCACGGGGTTCACGAGGGAGGTCTTAGGGCCCGGGCCTCTTTCTCTCTCCTTGGAGAGAGGAAGGCTCAGGCCTCAGCTGCCCCTGGGATGCGGACTCAGGAGACTCAGGGTCCTGCCTGGGGTGGGGTCCAGGTCTGGCCAAGTCTCCCTCACCTCGGGCCCAGGAAGTGGCTTTCCAGCTGGCTCAGAACTGGGTCCGAACCAACTTTGAGGTCTACTCCAGAGACTCGGCCATGTATGAGAAGGTGAGCTGCTCCTGAGCCCAAACCCTGCTGGGGCTCCTCCCCCTGGGGAGCAGGGGTAGGGGAGTGGGGGGCGGGGATCGCCAGGCTTTGCAAAGCCCAGGGACAGTGGTGACGCCCGGTGGTCATTCTCAGGCACTGCAGGGGTGGGAGCTGCAGGCCAGAGCCCCTTCTCCCAAAGAGGCTCACATGTGTTGCTCCCCCTGGAGGGCTGGGATGGGGAGCCTGGGGGCCTTGCCGACCTTATAGCCTGTCCTCCTTTTCCCAGTATGACATCAGCAATGGTGGTCAGCCAGGTGGTGGAGGGGAGTACGAGGTTCAGGTGAGTGGCCCACACCCTACAGGGGACTTTGTCCCCACAGCAGGCCATGACCCCCTCCAACCCCCATCTGGGCCTCTGATTCCTCCCATTATGTGGGTCCACTGGGAGGCGGCCAACTGGAGCTCCTTTGTACCCCTGGGGCTAGGCAGTTCCAGGGCATGTGGGTGGGGATCTCACAGCCCCTGAAGGACCCCACTGGCTCTGTCTCTCCAGGAGGGCTTTGGCTGGACCAATGGAGTGGTCCTGATGCTCCTGGAGCGCTATGGTGACCGGCTGAGCTCGGGCAGCCAGACAGTTTTCCTGCAGCCCCACTGCCTCATGGCTGCCCTTCTGCTCAGCCTCCTGCTCGGCCTCCTGCCACAGTGATGGGCCTCCTTGCCCCGTGGGCCTCATTAAACTTCTGTGTGATTCCCTACCTTCTCCTGCCTCTTCATCCTCCATCCTCCACCCCCAGCCAGTCCTGGGAGTGGGATCAGGGGAGGGACCCAGAAGTCATGGGTTGGACCCCTTTCCCTCCTGGAACATTAATAAGGAGGAAATCCTGTTCTGTGGGGACACAGCCCCATACCCCATGCAACCTGGCTTCCCAAACACGTACTCCAAATGCTTTATTGTTCTGTTGAGATGCTTACAAATGCTGAAAATCACCCAGCCCTGGTTTCCCAGCTGCAATGGGCCCCAAGTGCTGTGAAGAAGGGCAAGGAGATAGGATCAGAAAAAGTATTAAATACTGTCTCCCTGAACTATCCTTTCAAAAGAGTCCAAATTTGAATGCATTAATCTAGATCATTTTATAACCCTGGGCACTTTTGAAAACAATACAGGAATACTGGCCTTTATTTTATCAGCTTTGTGTGCTCAGAGAGGAAGAGAACCCTGCTAAGACCACAGTCACCCCAGAGTGACAGTGTGTGTAAAATTTGCCAGAATTGAAGGGAGTAATATTTCTATGTTAAGAGTTGGAGCCTTAGGGCAGCCTGGGTGGCTCAGTGCTTTAGCACTGCCTTCACGCCCAGGGCGTGATCCTGGAGACCTGGGATTGAGTCTCATGTCGGGCTCCCTGCATGGAGCCTGCTTCTCCCTCTGCCTGTGTTTCTGCCTCTCTCTTTCTATGTGTCTCTCATGAATAAATAAATAAAATCTTTAAAAAAATAAAAAAAGAGTTGGAGCCTTCAGTGCCACTTTAATGGATAGAATGTCTAGATAGAAGATCATAAAGGAGATGGCCACACCATGAAACAGTTAGACCTAATATATATAGAACTCTGTACCCAACAATAGAATACATATTCTTTTCAAGTGCACATGGAATGTTCTCCAGGATAGATTATATGTTAGGCCACAAAACAAGTCTCAGTAAATTTTAAGAGATTGAAATTATAGAAAGAATCTTCTCCAACTATAATGGAATGAAGCTAGTCATAAATAACATAAGGAAAACTGGAAAATGCACAGATGTAGAAATTGACACACTTAACCTAAGAGTCAAAGAAGAAATCACAAAGAAGGGACATTAGAAAATATTTAACAGATGAATGAAAACAAGGAGACATACTAAAATTTATGGGATGCAGCAGTTTTTGGAGAGACATTTACAACAGCAAGTTTCTACAAAAGATCTTAAATAAAAAAAAAAAAAGATCTTAAATCAATAACCTGTCTTCATATGTTGAGGAATTACAGGAAAGCAAACTAAACCCAAAGCTAGCAGAAGACAGTAAATGAAAAGTGAGCATAGAGAAATAATATAGAGAATAGAAAATCAAGAGAGAAAATTGGGGTACCTGGGTGGTACCCCAGGTAGGTTAAGAATCTGCCTTCAGCTCAGAACATGATCCCAGAGTGCAGAGTAAAGCAAGTGGTTCTCTATTAAAAAAAAAAAAAAAAAAAAAAAAAAAAAAACATGATCCCAGGATCCTAAGATGGAGCTTCTTTATAGCTATTGAAAAAAATTTGACAAAGACTAAAAGAAGATACAAATAACTAAAATCAGAAATGAAAATGGAGGCAGCCTGGGTGGCTCAGCAGTTTAGTGCCACCTTTGGCCCAGGGTGTAATCCTAGAGACCCGGGATCGAGTCCCACATCGGGCTCCCTGCATGGAGCCTGCTTCTCCCTCTGCCTGTGTCTCTGCCTGTCTCTCTCTCTGTTTCTCATGAATAAATAAGTAAAATCTTAAAAAAAAAATAAAATGGAGATACTATTATGACTTTACAAAATAAAGAAAACTGAACATTGTATGCCAACAAATTGGATAACCACTACAAAATGGTCAGACTCCTAGAAACCCACAAATTACCCAAACTGATGCATGAAGAAATAGAAAATTTCAATGGTGGGGCAGCCCTGGTGGCTCAGTGGTTTAGCACCACCTTCAGCCCAGGGCCTGATCCTGGAGACCCAGGATTGAGTCCCACATCAGGCTCCCTGCATGGAGCCTACTTCTCCCTCTGCCTGTGTCTCTGCCTCTCTGTGTCTCTCGTGAATAAATAAATAAAATCTTTAAAAAAATTGTTTCAATGGATTTATAACAAGTAAAGAGATTGTAATAAAAAACCACCCAACAATGAAACCTCCCCGTGATGGTTAATTTTCTGTATCTACTTGACTAGATGGAGGTACCATAATATTTAGTCAAAAATTATTCTAGATATTTCTATGAAGGTATTGTTTAGATGAGATTAAATCAGGAGACTTTTGAGTAAATCAGCCTGGTCACCCTTAATAAAAATAGCCAATTCATTTATAGGAAAATGCGTTGATTTGGAAATAGCAGAATTGCAATTCAGGGCATGCAAACCATAGGCAAGTCCAGACAACAAAGGAAAGGAGTGTTATTTTATAGAGGAAAGAAAGATGTTGGGAGGGGCTGTTTGGAATGAAACTCCATTCCAAACAGAGCAGAAATTCAGGGTTGTAGGGAGTTTTCATCGACTGAGTTGTGGTGGTTCTTGTTGGCTGGTTTGTTGCTGGGCAAGGAGAGAACTTTTTCTCCTGCTGAGATATGTAAAGTTAGCTTTGAATGGTGGTACCTCTGTGAGCATGCGCCTTTCAAGACTTCCTTACTGTATCTTGGGGTTTTTTTGTTTGTTTGTTTGTTTTTAAATATTTTATTTATTTGTGAGACAGAGAAAGAAAAGCAGAGACATAGGTAGAGGGAAAAGCAGGCTCCATGCAGGGAGAGCAACATAGGACCCAATCCCAGGACTCCAGGATCACCACCTGAGCCAAAGGCAGACGCTTAACAACTTAGCCACCCAGGTCCCCCATCCTGACTGTATTTTGAATGAGATTTTCCTTTATTATTTCATACCCTCCATATTGTGAGTGGACCTCATCTCATCAGTTGAAGGCCTTAATAGAAGGCCTTAAACACTGACCTCCCCAGAAGAAGAGGGAATTCTGTCAAGAGACTGCCTTTAGACTTTGCTGTGTATCCAGCCTGCTGACCTATCTTACAGATTTTGGACTTGCCAACCTCCACAATCATATAAGCAAAAAATTTAAAGATAAATCTCATTCTTTCTCTCCACATGCACATGTATTCTCTAGTTTCTGTTTCTCTGGAAAATCCTAATATAGTCCAAGACCAACATCTTCCTTGGCTAACTCTACCACACACCTAAAGAAAACTTAATGCCAACCCTTCTCAAACTTCCAAAATAGAAGAGGAGGGCACACTTCCTAACTCCTCCTATGAGACCAGCAACACTTGAGTCTTGTGCTGTATAAAGATACCACAAGAAAATTACAGTCCAATCTTTTATACATGTAATGCAAAAATCCTCAATAAAATACTAGCAAACCAGATCCAACAGCATATTAAAAGGATTATACACTGTGCAAGTGAGATTTTTCCAAGAATGCAAGGATGGTTCAACATAAGAAAACCAATGTAATGTACTGCATTAACAGAACAAAGGAAAAAAACCCAACATAATTATTGATGCAGAAAAGGCATTTGACAAACCCAACACCCTCCTATGATTTAAAAAAAAATCTAAAAATTAGGAATAGAAGGGAAGTTCTTCAGAGAAATATAAGGAATTTATGAAAAACTCACATGTACTATTACACTCAGTGGCAAAAGACTGAGAACTTTTCTTTAAAATCAGGAGTGAGATAAGGATGTCTGTCTACTTTAACCTCTGCTATTCAGCTAGCCAAAGGAACAAGACAAGAAAAGTGTTCAAATGGAAAAGAAGAATATTTCTATTCACAGGTGACATGATTCTATATATAGAAAATCCCAAAGGATCCACAGGAAAGCAGCTGAGTCTGGTAAACAGATTCAGTAAAGCTGAAGATAGAATATTAATACTAAAAAATCAGTTGCATTTCTATACACCTGCCAAGAACAACCTGAAAAGGAAATTTAAGAAGCCATCCCATATGCAATAACATTTAAAAAATAAAATACCTAGGACTAAACTTATGCAAGGAGTTAAAAGACTTCTACACTGAATAATGCAAAAGTCACAGAAGGACATGAATTGTATGATTCCACTTCCATGAAATATCTAGAATACATAAATTCATAGTCACAGGAGATAGAATAGTGGTTTCCAGGGGCTCTGGGGAGAGAGAACTGAGGACTTACTGCTCAATAGTTATAGAATGTATTGTTGGGGGACGCCTGGATGGCTCAATTGTTTAGCATCTGCCTTTGGCTCACGGCATGATCCCAGGGTCCTGGGACCGAATCCTGCATCAGGTTCCCCACAGGGAGCCTGCTTTTCCCTCTGCCTGTGTCTCTGCCTCGCTCTGTGTGTCTCTCATGAATAAATAAATAAAACCTCTTTAAAAAAAATACATCTTTGGGATGATAAAAAAGTTTTGATGGAGTGCCTGGATGCTGCAGTAGGTTAAGCATCTGACTCTTGGTTTTGTTTTGTTTTTAAAATTTTTTTTTATTTACTTATGATAGAGAGAGAGAGAGAGGCAGAGACACAGGCAGAGGGAGAAGCAGGCTCCATGCACCGGGAGCCCGACGTGGGATTCGATCCCCGGTCTCCGGGATCGCGCCCTGGGCCAAAGGCAGGCGCCAAACCGCTGCGCCACCCAGGGATCCCTGACTCTTGGTTTTGGCTCAGATTGTGATCTCAGAAAATAAATAAGTCTTTTTTTTAATTGAAAATAGTGGCAAAAAAAAAGAAAATAGTGGCAATAGTTGCAAAATACTGTAAATAAAATGTAAATTGAATTCTGCACTTTAAAATGGTTGAAATGCCAGATTTTATGTGGTATCTATTTAACCATAAGAAAAATATTTTTAAGGAGCACCTGGGTGGCTCAATTGGTTGGGCATCTGCTTTCAGTTCTGGTCGTGTTCCCAGGGACCTGGGATTGGCCCTGTGTTGGGCCCCTGCTCAGCAGGGAGCCTACTTCTCTCTCTCTCCCTCTGCTATGCGCCCCCCTTGTGCTCTCTGGCTCTCTCTCTGTGTCAGATAAATAAATAAGTTTTTTTAAAATATTTTTTAAAAGGAAGGAAAGATGCTTATGGATTAGAAGAACAAATATTGTTAAAATGTCTGTACTACCCAGAGAAATCTACACATTCAATGCAATCCCTATCAAAATACCATCAACATTTTTCACAGAGCTGGAACAAATAATCCTAAAATTTGTATGGAACCAGAAAAGACCTCTAAATAGCCAGAGGAATGTTGAAAAAGAAAACCAGGGCACCTGAGTGGCTTAGTCGGTTAAGTGTCTGCCTTTGGTCCTGGGATGAAGCTTCATATCCCTGCTCCCTGCTCAGCGAAGAGCCTACTTCTCCCTCTCCTTCTGCATGTCTCTCCCTCTGCTTGTGCACTATCTGTGTGTCAAATAAATAAATAAATCTTAAAAAAGAAAAGAAAACCAAAACTGGAGGCCTCACAATTCTGGACTTCAAGCTGTATTACAAAGCTGTAATTATTAAAACGGTGTGGTACTAACACAGAAACAGATACATAGATCAATGGAACAGAATAAAGAGCCCAGATATGGACCCTCAACTCTGTGGTCAACTAATCTTCGACAAAGCAAGGAAGAACATCCATGGAAAAAAGACAGTCTCTTCCACAAATGTTGTTGGGAATTGGACAGCCACATGCAGAAGAACAAAACTAGACCACTTTTTTACACCAGACACAAAAATAAACTCAAAATGGATGAAAGACCTAAAAGCGAGACACAGGAATCCACCAAAATCCTAGAGGAGAACACAGGCAGTAACCTCTTTGACCTCAGCCACAGCAACTTCTTGCTAGATACATCTCCAAAGGCAAGGAAAACAAAAGCAAAAATGAACTATTGGGACCTCATTAAGACAAAAAGCTTTTGCACAACAAAGGAAACAGTTGACAAAATCAAAAGACAACCCACAGAATGAGAGCAGATATTTGCAAATGCCCTATCAGATTAAAGGCCTAGTATCCAAGATCTATAAAGAGCCTATCAAACTCAACATCCAAAAAACAATCTGATCAAGAAATGGGTGGAAGACATGAACAATACTTCTCCAAAGAAGACATACACACAGCATGTGTGTACATGTGAACATTATAAAATGTTCAACATCACTTGGCATCAGGGAAATACAGATCAAATCACAATGAGATACCACCTCACACCAGTCAGCATGGCTAAAATGAACAAGTCAGGAGAGGAGACAACAGGTAGTGACAAGGATGCGAGGAAAGGGTTCACTGTCTTAGGCTGTTGGTGGGAATGCAAACCGGGGCAGCCACTCTGGGAAACAGTATGGAGGTTCCTCAAAAAGTTAAAAATAGAGCTACTCTACCACCCAGTAAATGTACTACTAGGCATTTACCCATAGGATACATAGTGACTTGAAGGGGCACCTGCACCCCAGTTTTTAGCCAATGTCCACAAGAGCCAAACTATGGAAAGAGCCCAGATGTTTGTTGACAGATGAATGGATAAAGAAGACTTATATATAGATATAGATAGATGATAGATAGATAGATAGATAGATACAGATATATACACAAAATAGAATACTATATATATATATATATATATATATATATATACACACACACACACACACACACACACACATACACACACACACACAATGGAATACTACTCAGTCATCAAAAAAAAAATGAAATCTTGGACAGCCCGGGTGGCTCAGTGGTTTAGCACCACCTTCAGCCCTGATCAGGGCCTGATCCTGGAGACCTGGGATCGAGTCCCATGTCAGGCTCCTTGCATGGAGCCTGCTTCTCCCTCTGCCTGTGTCTCTGCCCCTCTGTGTGTGTGTGTGTTTGTGTGTGTGTGTGTGATAAATAAAATCTTTAAAAAAAATGAAATCTTGGGATCCCTGGGTGGCGCAGCGGTTTGGCGCCTGCCTTTGGCCCGGGGCGCGATCCTGGAGACCCGGGATCGAATCCCACGTCGGGCTCCCGGTGCATGGAGCCTGCTTCTCCCTCTGCCTGTGTCTCTGCCTCTCTCTCTCTCTCTGTGTGACTATCATATATAAATTTAAAAAAAATAAAAATAAATGAAATCTTACCATTTGCAAAAACATGGTTGGAACTAGAGGATATGTGCTAAGCAAAATAAGTCAGAAAAAGATAATGAAATGATTTCACTCATGTGGAATTTAAGAAACAAAACAGGATCATAGGGGGAGAGAGAGAAAAATAAAATATGAAATCAGAGACAAACCATAAAAGACTCTCAATCATAGGAGACAAACTGAGGGTAGCTGGGGGGGGGAGGGGGTGGCTGGGGGATAGATATAAGGAAGGCATGTGATGGATGAGCACTGGGTGCTATACAAGATGAATGAATCACTGACCTCTACCTCAAACTAATAATGCACTGTATATTAATTGAATTTAAATTTAAAAAATAATATATATAAAGAAAAACAAAGGAAGGAAGTATGTAGCATCTGGAGGCAGAGGTGGCTTCCTAGGAGGTGGGAAAACTAACAGGACAGAGGTGGGGAGGGACGGGCCATCTTGTCTGTGGCAGACAAGGCACCACAACCAACACCCTAGACTACAAGCCTGAGTCCTAAGGAAAGGTCACATGGTCACTGATCTCAGGCGGTGACTTTGACCTTGCCGTGCACACTTCCTCCCCGCAGCCCTGTGTCATCTCAGGCCTGAGCCATCCATCCTCCAGTACAAGCACGGAGCACGGCTGAGCCTCCTCATGGGCCCCTGCCTCACGTTGCACCTGGGACAGAATCTGGAGCCACTGTGTCTGAAACATGAAAGGAAAAGGTAACTCTCTGCAATGGTGATCTTGGGGCCAGCAGAGCAACTTGGCATCTAGTCCCAGATGTGTGACCTAATTATGCCCCTGACATTCATGTGCCTGGAGCCCCACAGCCACCCCACCATGTGACTCAGGGAAGGGCCCATGCAGTGGCACCTGCCAAGACTAAAAAGACATGGGAGAAAAAGTACAAGGTTGAGGGGCAGGGGTTGGCCTCTGTGACCTGAGCGCAGGAGTCCAAGCTGCTGTGCACTGTGCGTAGACCTGGCGTAGACCTGGCATCCGGCCCCTCTGGCGGCCACGCCTCAAACGTGGACTTTGGCTGCCTTGAGTAGGCAGGTGAATCAGGCTGCACCCCAGCAAGCGAGAGGTGTCAGGGCTTACTCCACGGCCATGGCCACGGCCACCACCATGCATAGGAAGTCCTGGGAGCTGGGCCTGCTGCTTCTGTTGGGGCTGGGGTCCCAGGGCACCCTGCCCCCACCCTGTGACAGGTAGGAGTGGAGAAGTCGGAGGGAGGGGGCAGGGAGGAAGGCCAGGGCCAGGAGATTGAGATGAGCTCTCCAGCACTGGAGGTCAGCTCTTGGGAGAGAAGGGGAGGGAAGGAAATTAGCTTTCCTTGTGTGGCAGGCTCTGTGCTGGACACCAGGCACCAGACCTCCAGCGCTCGGGAAAGAGCAGGCAGCTGGCTGGCCAGTGTCCTCCCTCCCTCCGCCCCTCGCTCCAGCCTCCTCCTCAAACTCTGCAGGGCTCTCCTCTTAGGAAACTTTCTGCCAGTTTTCTGGCTTCTCCAGCCTGGAGGTGAGAGGCAGTATAAGGGCCTGAAAAGCGCTCCTGAGTTTCATCTCTAGGACCAAGAGCAAGCCAAACCTCTTTCAGAGCCATAGTTCCCATCTCCAAATGAGACAGATAAATGACCCTGTCCTGCCTCCGAGGCTTACAGGGCATCATCCCTTTCTCACTTAAATAGATTTCTTGAGCTCTCTTGGGCTGCAGGAGCGAACAAGATAAATGAAGTCCCTATCTTCATGGGCCTTACATAACTGGTAAGGAAAGTCCTGATAGAAGCATACCCAAAAGTAAAAGGAAGTGAGGGAGCCGCTCGGGGAGAGCAGAGGGTGTTTCAGAGAGGACGGCGAGGGAGGGTGTGTGTGTGGAGGAGACGTTTGAGCAGAACTGTGGAGGCAACTGTCTCTGTGCACATCTGGAAGACAGTCCAGGCAGGAAACTGCAATGCAAAGGCTCTGAGGTCATTATTCAAGGGAGGCTTCCGTGGCTGGGACAAAGGTAGGATCAGGCCAGGCAAGAGAGAAGGACCAGGGCTGGGGCGCCGGTGGTAGGACCAGAAAGGTGAGAAGGGGTTCAGTATGGGATATATTTTGAAGGTGGAGCTGATAGGACTTGCTGATGGTTGTGGAATATAAAGGGGAAAGGATTACCTGGAGTGATTCATAGATTTGGTTCTGAGCAATTGTAATAAGGATTTCAGAGAGGCTGTGTGATCAAGAGTTTTGTCAAGCATGAGGTTGGTTGCCAAAAGTATAGAAAAACTGTGTCTGGGGTCTGTAAGACCACTGCAGCTCCAGTGACTTAGTACTTCCCAGATAGTTACATCCGTGGTGATGTTTATTCCAGTGAAGGATAGTGGTTAAAATCAGGAATGGTAAAAGGCTCATAGGGCAGAGTCCAGGAGAGAAGAAACACAAGTTCCATTCATCTGTATGAATAGCACTTAATTTTTCTTTCTTTTTTTTAAGATTTTATTTATTTATTTTTGAGAGAGAGAGAGAGAGAGAGAGAGAGGCAGAGACACAGGCAGAGGGAGAAGCAGGCTCCCTGTGGCGAGCCTGATATGGGACTCGATCCCAGGACCCTGGGATCACGCCCTGAGCCAAAGGCAGATGCTCAACCACTGAGCCACCCGGGCATCCCTAATTTTTTCAGCAACGTATGTGACAATATGCATGAAAGATGGCCAACCAGGAAGCTTACCTGAGCCTCACACTCAGGGTTTCACTGGGGCTCAGTGACAGATGCGTGGAGCATCTGTATGCCCTATCTTACCTAAATCTCTAGGTCTTCAAGTCAGAGTGATATTGGGTGGCCCTCAGTCCCTAGCATACATCACATTAGTAGCATAAAATATCTGGCATGGCCCAAGGCCCCAGATAAAGCTTTGTCTGGCAGGGCTCCAGCAGATTAGTGCTTATAGCTCAGGAGCTGGGCCCACACCAGACTCTCTCTAAAATGTGTAGGGTTGGAACACACTAAGTCAATCCTTTATGGCACAAGTCTCTTGTTATATAATGAAGCATTTTGTCTGGTTTTCATCCTGGGCTCCTGGGACATAATCTCTAAGCTCTTGGAATTTCCCAAGTGATAGAGTTTTGGGTATCCGTGGTGGCACTGATAGTTTATATTAATGGGGTGACTTGTGGGAGCCCCTACATGATCATGCTGATAGGATGTCTCAGGATGGGCAAGGCCATACCAGAAAGACTGTGTGAGTAGAGGATTGATGCCTTGGGCCACAGCATGCCAACCCGACCTCCTGACTTCTGGGGCAGAGAGAGCTGAAGACAGCTCAGTCACATGGCCAGTGATTCAACCAACCGTGTGAATGAGACCCCAGTACCAAAACTCTTCACACCAAAACTCAGGGGAGCATCCTGTCTGGTGAGCACTTTGACATACCAGGAAGGTGATGTATCCTGATTCTTTGGGAAGAAGATACGGAAACTTTGCATTCGGGACTGTCCCAAACCTCCTCCTATGTGTGTCTTTGGCTGGTCCTCATTTGTATCCTTATAATAAGCTATAATCGTTAAGTATAGTGCTTTCCTGGGTTATGGGAGTCTGCACATGATTGAACCTGATGGGTTGATTGCAACCTCCAAATTTATAGCCAATTGGTCAGAAATGGGTGTAGCTTGGGGACCAGGGAACTGGCAGTGCTAGCTGGAGTGAGGCCTGTCTTGTTGTGGACTGTGCCCATGGCCTGAGCTAATTGGTACCAAGATTGGATTATAGTATTGCAGATGATGTCAGAAAATGTGTGATTTGCTAGAATGACCTTGATTGGCTGGAACTTGTGGCTCAGGGAAAGCAAGATGAAAGAACAATGGATGAACATGCTTTGGTTCCTGGATGGCTGTAGGGTCGCCCATGGTTTGGAACAGCAGCTATGTTGTGATCGGTTCCTGGAGGTGAAAGTTATCAATGGAATTTGGAGATGACGGATCCAACTCCCAGAGTGTTGGCTCACTAGGTGCTTAAGAAAATAAAAAATAATAAGAAAAAATTTAAAAACGCAATCCCTGGGTTATTATTATCCTATAATAGCAAACATGGAAGCGAGAGATGGGCCAAACTTCAACTCTGGCCAGTCCAAACCTCAGCCTCTCATCTCAGGGCTCCTGCCTAAGGAATGTGAGGGGGAGGATCCCACTTCTGCCTGGCCTGAGGTGCAGCCACAGCCTCAGAGCTGTTTGCAAAGGGAAAAAAATGAATCTAAAACAACAATAATGAAGCAAGCTAGACTGATTTGCAAGAGAACAGAATAGATGGGGAGGGAGCCAATGGACATCCCAGCAGGGTGGAATCTTTAAATAGTTATTGAGAAATGGGGTGAATAAAGCAGCTGTGGGTAGAAATGTTAATGCAGCACTTCTTCGAAGTTGAGTGGACCAATGGGAGACCTGGAGGCCCCCAAGATGCAAGGGACCTAAACAAATCTGTTTTAATCACCCTACTTTGAAGGAAATAGGAAAAAACTTTGCAAGGCAAAGATGATAATGAGAAACCTGACCTCCCACCTCCTGAAGCAATGGCCCTGCAATTTAATCAAAATTAAGATTGATGAAAAGGTGAGGGTCCCCTAGGTTTGTCTCCTGCTGGGGAGACAAAGTGTTACACATATGAGCAGGCAAAATGGTCAGAGGGTAGAGAAGATTCTGGACTCTGTGCCCTAGGGTCCCATGCACTATCTACCAAAAGCACCAGTGAAGTCATGAAAGGGGCTACAGTCAGACTGATAGGACATAAAAACGCAAGAGTTGGTGGGATTAAGGTGAATGTTGGGATGGAAATTGGAATGTTTAGACAGACTATATGTCAAGGGGTTGTTTCTCCTTCTGCTGAATGCTTTTGAGGAGTGGTTATCACGTCTGGCCTGGGGTGGCACCTACCCTACCTAGTACTGTAAAACCCAAACTGTCATGGTTAGGAACACCAGGGTCAAAGGGAATGAGGTGAAAGCTTATTTGGTGTTTGAACACTTTTCACGTGAAGTGATTGCCTCTGTTTTGCTGGATGCGTTACAGGGGCGGATGTTGTGTCGAGAGAGGAATGTTTCCAGTGTCTAGTATTATAAAACAAAAGGCATGTAAATCTACCCATCATGCTATTGCTTCTTGTATGGATAGGACATTCCAACAGGCACCAGTAAGATTGCCTGAGGTCACCCAGATCACATCCTTCCGTGGAGCCTAGAGGGCACCTTGGGGCCCCTCCCAGCACGCCTGCCAGACTTTGGACTAGAAAAATGTCCATTTAAGAAGCAATTACTAGCTTGTTATCAGGCATTAATTGAGACTGCCCCTCTGAAGGACAGATAATTTTTTTTTTTTAAGATTTTATTTATTTGGGGCAGCCCAGGTGGCTCAGCAGTTTAGCGCCGACGTCAGCCCAGGGTGTGGTCCTGGAGAGAGACCCGGGATCAAGTCCCATGTCAGACTCCCTGCATGGAGCCTGCTTCTCCCTCTGCCTATGTCTCTGCCTCTCTCCCTCCCTGTCTCTCATGAATAAATAAATAAAAGCTTTTTTTTTAAAAAAAAGATTTTATTTATTTGACAGAGAGCAAGTGAGAGAGCACAAGCAGAGGAGCAGCAGAGGGAAAGGGAGAAGCAGACTCCCCGCTGAGCAGGGAGCCCCATGTGGGGCTCCATCTCAGGACCCTGGGATTATAACCTGAGTCAGAGGCAGATGCCCAACCAACTGAGCCACTCAGGCGCTCCAACATAAGATAATCTTAAAGCCTAAAACACCCAGAGTATCTTGGGTAATGTTGGAGAAACGATCTAAGAGGAAGAACAGTGCCTGGAAGAGTTCCATAATGCAGGGGACATGGTCTATGCAGGGGCATGCTGCTGGGGGAACGTAGAACTAACCCCATACGTTTCCTCTAGAACTGACTTTGGAACCAAGTGAGGAGTGCTGGATTCTACTGCCACTTGGATAGTGCCCTATAGACAGCTCTTGGTTCATGGATAGTCCTTCCTCTTTTTTTTTTTTTTTCCATTTGTTCATGAGAGACAGAGAGAGAAAGAGGCAGAGACACAGGCAGAGGGAGAAGCAGGTTCCTTGCAGGGAGTCCGATGTGGGACTTGATCCCAGGACCCCGGGATCACGCCCTGGGCTGAAGGCGGCACTAAACCACTGAGCCACCCAGGCATCCCTGGATGGTCCTTCCAAGGTGAACAGACAGCCAGGAAGC